GACTTAAAACCAAATTACATGGACACAGCTTGAATGCTCAACACGCACCGAAGTTTACCGGTGAAAAGGGGAGGAGGTAGGTGGCCAGTGCATGCGAACGCCATCGACCCACGCGCTGTATATCGGCGAAAGGACCTCCCGTTTCAAAGGCCGTTGAAGCCGCCCCCGAACGGAATGAGTGGGATCAATAGTGCGCATTGGTAATACCGCAGCCTACTAACACCATTTGCAACACCGTATTAAATTGATCATATGATATAAGATATGGGGCGGAGAGAACCCCCCCCCCGCTTTTGTGTTGGTGATTGTTTGATCGGAATATCAGGAATTCTTTACAGACTTCTAGGGAGGATGTGTTTAGGTGACAATAGTCTAGAGGGATTGGACATGTGGGGGGGACCCATCGGCCCCATATCGTGCACGATATCAAATTGATAGCGTGTAAGGGACTGGCTGTCTATTTGACAAAAAAGTGGACCAAGCGTTCGTGGGCGACACTGTAGGTACGTGTGGAGCGCTTGAACCGGACAAAGAGAAGCATCGGTCCATCTGCCCACATGGACAAGCTGCGGGGGGCAATGCTGGTTTGTTTTTGTCTGACGCAAGGAGAGGATAAGGCCTACTCCCTCTCCGCCCTGCAAGAAGCTTAGATCTGAAATGTGAAAAGCCGAGTCCTGCACATTAGACCGAGAATGCGCTGCAAACTCACTAACCCTTAAGAAACCGAAGAACGCCAGCAGCATAGGAATAGCCCTTCGGATCACTCACCCCTGACCTTTCCGTTGAGTATAATAAATTTTACCTGCAATGCGGTAAAATGTGTTATAAAATCAACTCGCAACACCCATCAAACATGGAAACTGAAAAGTGCAACAATTCCAACAAAGAAAACCTGCTGTCGGAGTTTAAATTAATTTTGGCAAAACCCTTCTAAAGTCCAAAACTTACAGGCATTGGCTTCCTCAGAACCGCAATAATAACTTACGAAATTCAAATGTCGGACGAATCGGTATAAAAGTAGTTGTATTCCAGCCCTGGTCGACAGGCTCGACCAATCCAGATAATGCTTTTCCCACTTATTTTTAGTTAAATATATTTCCAGTTAATGTGTTCTTATTCCTAGTTAACGTTAATTCCCACTTATATTTAGCATTATTAAGGTGCTCGGTGTATGTGTACCCTCACCGTCTTAAGTGCTCCGTAATTGTCTTAGTAATTTGACCAGTTACATTTCTTTTTCGGGGGGAGTTGGTTTATCTCATCTTCTGAGTCCTGTTCTTCGGATTTAGTCTTACATAAGATAAGCGTAGTTTTGTCTTTGTAAATCCACCTTTTTAAAATTAAATTACATTTTTTTTTACTATGTCTCGTTTAATTGTAATTAGTTTATTACCATATAGTATGGTCTTCCTTTTTTAACTTCACTAACTTGTTAGTATGTTCAGGCCCTTTTTGGCCTAGTTGTTGTGTTGGCGGGGTTAGTTTTTAATCTATATTATAATATAATTTGAATATTTTAATTTTCCCGAATGCAATCTCTCGTTTGTCGAAATGTACAAAATAAAAACGAACCTGAACAAACCGATTTATTACGGCGTTTGCATCTTGGATTTATCTAAACCGTTGAAGTATGACTTTTATTACAATACGTTGAAACAGTTGAAACTCAGTGTCTTCTGGTTCCACTTGAAGCTCTTCTTGCACAAAAGAACGCTTGGGACCGCCGAGCAAGTAATACAGCGTTGAACCCGTTTTATTGCCGTTGACTCGTTTAAATTGACTCGTGCGCTTTTGAATTTAATACACGTCCACGCTCCAAATGGGATCGGTCGCTCTCTTGACAGTGCCACCTTCCTGTTCACCCGGATAATAAAAATATCGGGCGACAGCGTCTGGAGGCAACTCTGTCCACTCGCTTTTCTGAGGAGCTGCTGGAGCTTGTTTTCACTTGATCGCGTTTCACGGCTTCCGCAGGAACTGCGTCTATCAACCGGGCTTTTCTTCATTAAGTGGTTTATCGGCTTGGGGCAGATGCTCCACCCATTCTACGTTTCCCTCACCGACGTTCAATATTTCCTGCGCGTACTGATGTCCAAAATGTCGTTCGGCCAATGCTTGTTCAACCGTTCTGCGATCCCCTGCGATCGATGGACACCGGTTCACTTACTTGTAGCTGAACGCCCTTTTTAACAAACTTTTTTTAAAACTCGCCTTTAAATTCCGATCATCAGTCTACGTTTAACTGTTTTAGGCCAAGTCAACGGAGACCTTTTATAAATTTGTTTATGGCATCGGTTACTTGGTAGGCCGTTTTGCTTGTCAAAGGTTTCGCCTCCTTGTATCTTGAGGCCACGTCCACTACCGCCAGCGCGTATTTGTACGTTTGTTGTTTTACACGATCCCAAGGCAAATACAACACGTCCATTTGATGCGTGTCGCTAGGTTCGACAGTCTTTTGCAAAGTCATCGGCCTGGGTACGTATTTAGGTATAACTGCCGCACGGCCTGTTTTTTAACCACCCTCTCACCGCGCTTTTGTCTGCACCCGTCTTTTTGTGCAAGTGATCAACAGCGCTTTCGCCTTTCCAATAGCCTTGCGGACTATAAAACAATCTAGAAAATTCTTTGCCCATTTTAGAATTAAAACGTTTAAAAATCAAGTTAAGCAAACCGTTTTGTAAAAAAAACGACCAAGGCAGTTCCTCCGAGAACCCACACGAGCTCTCTAATGCGTTGGTCCTCCGAAGGCACGTAAAAATCCGACAACACGGGTTCAGGTGGCAACGTCTGCAACACGTTTTTCCCCGTCAATTCTGAATAAACACGCAAGGCTTCATCTACGTTGGTAAACTCGCGTTGACTCACGAGTTCTTGCCTCATGGATTTTTTAAAAAAAATCCAACAGATGAAAGGGATTTTCTTCCCAGGTCTGTTTGGCTTGTCTCTTTCGTTTTTCATCTACGCGTTTTTGAGACAGACTACTAAACAGAAAGTTGTATTCCGTGAACGCCAACGCGTTTACTATAGCTCCTCCTACCATCATTAAAGCACTCGCCATTTTATTTTATAAACGCTTTAATTTAAAAATGAGCCAAGAACTTCCGTTAGAGATCCAGGACGTACTGGCGGAGATGCGAGCCGAAACGTTCCATAAAAAAGATCAATTGACTAAATACGAAGACATGTTTTTTGCCCCCGGTGTGTCGTTGATTGCGTTTTATCGTTCATATTTGGAATTTTAAAACAAACCGTATAATATAAAACCGTCTATAATAAAACGAATAGACAATGGCAAGCCAATATACAAAGAAATTAAATCCAAGCCGTTGTTTGAAAACGCCTCGAGCCGTCAAAGGCGATCGGCGCGAGGTGCCGATTACACATAAACCCAGTATTATCGCTGCCACTAGCACGCTCACCGTCAAGTTCCAAGCGCTAGGCGTAGATGACATCATTGTGCAGGGTACGGCTGAACTTGCTTTCAAGTTGGAGCTGGACGGCACCATGTATAACAACGTCGCGCGTAACTTGGTCAGCGAACTAAACGTCAGTCTACAAGGCAACGAAATCGTGAGTTACAGAGATGCAGACGTCTTTCACAAGTTTAAAGACAACTGGTTGCCCTCGACGAAGACTGAAAACATGGCTTATTTTGGTCTAGAAAGGGAAAAAAATAGCCAAGCTGCACCTGGGCGCAGGTGACGCCAACGAAGCGAGTAACGACGGTAAAGCCAAAGCGATCGCCAACGCTTTAAAGAACAGGTACGCCATTCCCTTAGATGTTAAAGGGACAGATACCGCCGCAGAGTACGCACATGAGTACGTCAGTTTCGGACCTGACGCTCGAATACGAAGTCGTGACCAACCGCGACTTGGCTCAATCTTTACGAGCCAAACACAAGGGCACCGTGTACTACCTGTTTGACTGGATTCACTCGTGGAAAAAAACAAGCGGTCAACAAGTCGGATACCTTGTGGAATACTAACATCGATCAAACGATTAAAAGCTTGAAAGGCATTTTTATCTTGTTCAAATACCCAGCTGTTAAAAACCATCAAACATTTTATAATGCTCGAGTTAAGAAAACTAGCGTAACAGTCGAAGGTAAACTCAATCAACTATATTCGCAAGGGTTGTTAGAATACCAACGAAATCTCCAGGTTTTTCGGTGAATTGGATACCGAATCGGGTCGAGTGGTTGTAAAGGACTTAAACTTGACGGGTGTGGAAATGGCCGACTACCTGAAAGATAAATACGGTCTGCGGCTAGATTCCAGAAGCTCCGATAACTCGGCACACGGACCTGGTCCACCACTAGGAGGCGGAGGCAGGGCTACTCTTGATGTGTGTGTTTTTAATTATGGATGCGCAATAGAGGATGGTAATTTTAAGAGTCTGGTGTATTAAATCCTGTTTAAGATAAAATGAGCATGTATAAAAACCCGCACAGTGCTCTCATAGTGAGAAAGACGGGGTCTGGAATAACAAAGTGGGTGTTGGACCTTTTGGAAAGTAAATATTGGTTTGTATTTGAAGCCATTGTGATCATCTGCCCCACGCTATTTAAAAAATAAAACGTATTTAGAAAGACTTGATTTTAACCGATAAGAACGTGTATTTGTGTGATTAAGACAAGGAAAATTTGAGCTAAACGAAACGCTGGACCTATATCGTACTCGTTATAATTTAATAATTTGTTTAAAAATGCTGGAACTAGGCTAACGCATTTTTTTAATTCGTTGTAAATTAAAAGTTAGCAAATGCTACGATACGTTTACCTAGTTATTCAGTTAATTATTGCCCCTATATTTATCATTTGTCTGTGTTTTTCAGCTGGGGGGTCGGGACTGAGTTGAAATTGTAGACTTTTCTGCACTCAAACCACCAGCTCCAATAAGGCCCAGTGGGGCCGAAAATTCAGCACCGGAGCAAACTGGTGAGCATTTTTTTCTTACTTTGCTCCGACATTGCCCCTAAAATAAATATTCAAACTTATCGATTTGGGTAATGTGCGAGCTTCAGCAACCAGCTTGGACCCGACTTGTTTATTCACATGGCATTTCGCTTAAGATTAAAATTCACAACCCTCATGGTAAATTCACACTTTACAGTCCAACTAAATGAAAAATTCTAAATCGCCATCAACAATTGCTTCTGGTGGTCGCCAGACAAGAAAACACGCACACCCACACAAAGGAAAGTGAAAATCACGCATCTATTCAGGACAAATCAAGCACCAACACCTTATTCAAAATTCCAGCCCCGACCACTGAACTATACACTCGTTAAAATATCAATGATAAATTCGATGTACTCCAATTCGTTCTGGTACTCAAATGGATACATATCCATTTTTCCTCAATTACCCAATGAAAATTTCTTACATTAATGTTTTTTAGATACTGTGATAAAAGAGGATATTTTAAAATTACTCTTTCGTTTTGCAATCTGATAACCTAACTTTCCCCAGAAAACTTGCAGCTTTTACACATGCTACTACCCATGTGAACTTGAGCATTCTACTTACTTTTTATATTTTGTAATTCATCACAAAACTAGTTTTGATTGGAGTTTCAAACCAAGCGTTGTTCTTGAATCTCTTGGTTTCATACTATGTCTCAGACCTCAAGATCTTGATTTTGGTCTTGGATATTGTGATCATGCTTACAACTCAAACATTTTCACATTTATTAAGAGTGACATTCAAATGATAAAATATTTTCATGCAAATGCTTTCCAATCTGTATGCTTATGCCAAGACATTGTCAAAATTGTAACATTAACAAACATTCAAACAGTGAATCTGTTGGATAAATGTTACTCTTCTGGTTACTTCATTCATTAAAGAACCCAGTAATGATAAATGGGATACGATGAACATTTTCAGATGATCATTCAGCATATATATATAAGTATTTTATTGCCAAATGCATTTGGTAACACTTCAAAAAAGCCGTGAAGATGCATTTTTATACATACATATATGTTTATGTTTTTACTTTTTCATTAACACATAATATTCATAAAGCTACTTTTGTTGAATTTGTACTCTGTAATTAACCTTACATATATCCTAAATACTTGCATATATCCCAGTTATCTTAAAGTTATGTATCTCAAATGTGCTTGAATTCGCATAACTTCCAACATATTCATGAATGGGTTCAATAGTGTTGAAACTGGCAGAATCATTTCTTTAGGAAAATTTATTGATTTCATTACAAATCTGAACCAAGGGATAATTGCTCATCAAACCTGTTTCGTTTGAAATCCAAACTCACCTTTGCACATACATGTACATAATTTCTTTAAATACAGCTTCAGTAGCTGTATCAATTCTGGCAAAAACAGGTTTCAAACTTAAGGTTGTTAAAGAAGCAATACTCTGACCTGTTCCGGTGTTCTTACAACAATATTCTTTGGATCCACATAACCATTTGCAGCGTTGTTGATACAGTCAAATAAAAACTGATATGCTCCGCAAACCAGCTCAGTGCCTCTTCTTACAATCTCCTCTCTGAAGGAAGAATATAAAATTAAAAGCTAATAGGTGCCCTTTATTCCTGTCCACTGTGCACATGAGTTGAAATTTGGCATCTCACAGAAAGCTGCATTTTTTTATTTGTACCCTGAAATCTTGCAATGCATTTTGTGGTTGCTGGTTAAGTTTTAAACTGATGTTTTTATGATGTTGTGGTGACTATCTGGGATTTGTGGTGTTCATTTTCATGTAAAGTTAAACTGAATGGACTGGAAAAACTCTGTGTGCTTTCCATTTGCTTGGCTGGTAGGAGTCCCATATAACTGGCTCTATGTTTTTGGATCACCACAATTAATACCGGCATTGCACTACAGTGCAATGTTGTGTGCTGGAGCTGTTGAAAAAGGCAGTGTTTTTTACCAGGTCAAAGAAAACTGTGGTCCCATTTTATACAAACTACCATATATGTCTGTTGTTTAAATGAGCCACGTCTGCTAAGCTGGTTGCCTATATGTAAATAAAGAGGAACAACTTGTTTGAACCTTTCCAATAAAGTCACAGTGGAGGACACAACATGGAAATGGGACTCTTGGCAAAGCAAAACGATACACTAATGTCTATGAACAAGCAAGAGGTAGTTGTCCTGGTCCTTTTGGGTGTATCTGTTGCTTTATGCAGGTGGGGGGTATATGTATATTTCCTCCCCAGTTTTCGTGAGAAAAATGAGGCAGAACATGACAACTTTTTCGCTTTCTCAACAACCAGAATGTATTAAAAAAGGAAAACATTAAAAAGCCATAATCCTTTTTCAATGTGAGGTGCTTCAAAAGTGTAATTTCTCCCCAACAATAATGTTGATCGTGTCTGCTATAGAGAATACCTACCCAATCATATATATGCAAGTTTCCAAAGGGCCTTTTTGCCATTCGCTAAAAACGATCAACTCTAATGCGCACTCTCCCACCACAATGCATTGCAGCGCCGTTGCCATGTTCTTCCTTTTTTGTTGAAAGTGTTTGAGAATGTGAGCCAGAATGGGAAGAGTAGGTGGGCATGGAATGTTTGGTAGATTTTCTCTAGTGGACTCGTCCTACGTTACTGTAGGGGAGGACTCCACTGTGTTTTCAACCTACTGAACAGTTCTATATATGCAGAGCAGCTCGGATCCTAGGTAGGGAGGGTTAGTGATTATGCACCAGATAACTTGTAAGTGAACGAGCGAGGATCAACAGAGGAGTGATCGTTAATGGTTGATGTATGTTGTGTGGTCAAATTCTGATGATCTTGCATGGACACTTGTCCGAAGGTGACAGATTGTTGGGCACTGCTTGGAGCTCCAAAATATTGATGAGGTTTTGCTGATTTCAACCATTCAAGATTCCTGATATTTGTTAGGGTGAGGAGAGGCTCCCCAACTGAGATGCATTGGTGATTGTGACCTCCGGTTCTGATCTGTAGGTAGTTGTTATGGGAACCAGGATGTCGATGGCATTGGGATGAAAGTGGGCTTAGTGGGCTCATGCAGAGCAGACACCACTGAACTACGTCTGTCATGCTGGATATTAGACCAATGAGGTGTTGCTAGGAGCGAGCCGATGCAGACCGGCAGGCCATGAACGGCATAATGCATACCTGGAGATTTACAATGCGATTGGCAGTTGGACTAATCATGCCCTGCCAAAGGTCGAGTATTGCACCTAGGTAAATTGGATTCTGTGATAAGATAGGTCTAGAGTTTTTGTGCCTGGTGAGTGAAGCCCAGAGGAATAGTTAAGCCATAGTCACCTATGGCAGGTAGACATTTTGGCCTTGTTCTGGGTTCCATCCACAGAGTAGTATGACATCCAGTTGGCAGATATGAGAAGTGATCACTTTTGTTGCCCAAGTGAAGGCCCAGGGGAGATTGACAGACTGAATGAGGCAGAAAATTTGAAGGTCCTCTCTGTCGTATGTAAATCGGAGGAACTTACAGTCTTGAGGATGTATCAGCATGTGGGGGTATACATCCTCCAGATTGATCAATATTGCTGAGGATGGGGTGGGGAAAGATTGTTACTGACCGTAGCCTCTCCGTGTGGATTTTTGTTGGGGGCAGATGAATTTGATCAGTGGCTTGAGATTGATGATCGGTTGCCATTTGCCTGGTTCCATTTTTGATCTGAGAAAGAAGGTTGACTGAAACCATCGGTCCTTACCGCTGGGTGGGGCATTTACGATTACTTGTCTGCATAGGAGAGCATCTATTCTTGGACTCCTTGTGGCGGGGGGGATGCAGTAAGACAAAGTATCGATTCGGACATAGGAATACTCATGAATTCTAGTGTGTATCCGAGAGTGATGGTGGTAAGTCCCTATCAGTCTGATGCGATATCCTGCCAGAACCCTGCAAAACACTGACAGTAAAGTTAGTTTGATATTGGACACCAGACATTACCACTACTTGGTACAGTGAATATCTGATTTTTTACATTCCCTGTACAAATCTATGGGATGTCCACTGTGTTGAGGAAAAAATCCGACATTCGCTGTACAAACCTATGGGAATGTCCTATATCAAACTAACTTTTTGTAATTGCAAAAGACTGAAGATGGCCACCGACGGGTTTGGAGGCTGTGAGTGAACCTGTGAGTCACCAGTGCCATCCCCCGTAGGGACCGGGTTGTGCAAGGTGTTTCCCTGTGTCCACAGTGTTGCATGGTAGAAGCATGGAAGGAGGCCCGGAGACTGGTCATACTGGGCAACGGAGGACCAAAGGACTGAGAGGGGCTTGAGTTTGTAGGCTGTGAGGGAAGTTTGAAATGTCAGCATCTATGACTCACGGACTGGTTAGTGTTTGGAGGGAGGGACACTTGAAAACTCAACTTGCAGGTGGTGTCGATCCATTTCAACTCCATTTTCAGGTTATCCATGAAATGGCCACTGAAGAAGTCTTTACTGTAGAGTGGGAGATCTTGAAGTCTAGATTAGATGCCCTAATAAATATTCATAGCCTCCAGAGTGTTTGATCTGGGCGTGGCGGTTGCTAGGGAAGAAATTCGTGAGAACTGTTTGGACGTAGCATGAAGGCCTTCATCCAGTGATCAGAGCGAGATTAGGAGAAAGGGGCGAGTTCCTCTTCATAGGCATATTGTCAAGGTATTTTGAGAGGAGTAGGAAGGCAGCACACTGGCAACCGTGACAACACTCTCTCCAGTTTTGTCATCATGCGGAAGGGAGTCTTGCAAGAGAGTCTGCCACTTTTCTACTGTAATTGTATCTTAAGTGGCCAGACTGCCTAGGCAAACAGGGTGTCAGCATATGAACAACAATGGGCAGCGTGTCTTGGAGATATGCAGGGACCAGCGTCTTTGTGTGACCAACACCTACTTCACTGGACGGCTCTCCCATAAGACCACCTGGCAGCACCCAAGATCATGGCACTGGCACGAACTCGACCAAATTCTCTGCAGCAGGAGCCTTCTCAAAAAAGTTCTCCACACGAGAGTGATTCATTCTGCTGATGGGGATACAGACCATTGTCTTGTCAGATGTAACCTTCAGATGTCTCTGAAGAAATTGCTGAAGTCAGAGCAGGTTGGTTGCAAGCAAATCAACCGGGGGAGGCAAAGGATCCAGAGAAAATCCATGTTTTCTTGAAGGCAATCAATGAGACAGACAGACAGGAGTGGGAGGATTATACCGTGTCTGTGCATGAACAGGCCCTGAAGTATTTTGATTCGATGACGTCCACTCGTTTGAATCTTACCAGGCCTAAAGCCACAAAGAATGTACAAAAGGAAATGAGGAAGCAAGCAAACCGGTACTGACTCAACCTTTGGCGCATGATCCCTGTTGGTCTTATGCAGCCAATACAATACATTTGCTGATACCTTACACTCCTACCTAGTCATTTTCCAATTAAACTCTTTTATCAAACTCAAATTGGCAAGCACCTGTAAGTTTTGGGGACTGAAACCCCTGATTGTTTTTTAATCATATTTTGAAAACTTACTTTTATAACGAGGAATGTAACTATCTTAAATGCTTTTTGCCCTCGTAACCACGTCACGTACAAGGTCTTTTTGTCTCTATGTCAATATATGTAGCATTTTTAACTATATGTACTTGGTATTTTTATACTTTTTGTGTTGGTTTCTAGTCATGGTGGTGGATTAGCCGTCTTTTATTTTCTGTTTCAGTGCAATTGCTTTATTATATCTGGTATTTGTAACAGCTTTCAACTTTGAAAAGGGTACTTCTACTTACCTACCAATGGTTTCCAAGGTGCATGTGCTCAAACAATACTACTGACAATAACAAGACCCAAGACATACATACCCAAACTGCATTGAGAATTCCATTGTGATAATGCCCCTTTTATTTTTTAAGTTTAATTAATAACAATGTAGCCTCATTCCTACCTCATCCTACCTAATGCCCATTCCATTCCGTCAAATTCCTATTCCCTATTAGTTGGACCATTGATAAAACTTAGTCTGCGTGCCATGGAATATGGGAGCTGAGGTTAGTGCACCCCACACTGACCTTTTTTCAAGGAATATTTCTTTGAAATGAGGGGGTGACCCTTTTATAAGAAATTGGTTTTAGGCTTCAAGTTAGTCATGTTAGCTGCATTTTGATTGGTCAAAGGATTTAGTCAATTATGAGGAGCAGGGTGATGTACTTTTTTAGTATTCAAGTCGATGAATCATATGCAGCGACCAAGTTTAGGTGGTATATAACACAAACATTTTATTGAAATATTAAGTCAGAACCGTGAGAGCCGAGGATTGCATCTGATGAGACAAGTATTCAGTACTTTAATTCTGTGAAATATTTGTATGTGTAAGAAAATAACTTAGGAAAGTGATTCATGTTGAAATGGGAGCATTTAGAAAACATCGTTTCACACGCGACTAACGTATGCTAGTACATACCACCCCATACACACACCCACAAGTACTTAACTTGAATACCTAATATGGATATTCCCTTATGTTTGCGTAGGAAAATTTGATGAGAATACCCACTTTTCAGACCTGTGAACACTATTTTAAGCTGGAGTTTTGTAGATGGTTTCCATCACTGTTCCTAGTCCTTTGGCCATGGACAACCCCAACACTATTAATACACTTTATGATGTTCCCTACCACTAAAATAAATCTAACCCTCCTTTTCTGTGAGGGGGAAACCTTATGTGGATGTCAGCAAGTCCTTTTACTACATGCTCTATTTTGTATGAAAGGGATATATGCATTAGTAACTACAGGTAATTTGAGTGAAGTAAACTCTGACCCCACATCAGTGTGGGTCGGGTCTCCTAGTGATACTTACCCCTGCCCAGCCTACGCATACACATTTCCCATGTGCCTATTACAATTTGCTGAAAAGACTTGATTATGCATGCTGCCCCTTGACCCTCCACAATGCACTGCGATCCCACTGCCATGTTCATCCTTCTCTTCAAAGCAGAGAAAACCCCTAGAGCCAAAGTGGGGAAGGATGGGTGGGAAAGGCTGGGCAGGGGTAATTATCACTCAGAGACACGACCCACACTAATGTGGGGGAGGAGTCTCCTGCGTTCATATACCCCTGCCCAGCCTACATATGCAGAGTGGCACCGTACCCCGGAGGCAGGTTGGCGACGGGAGTGTACATGTAATTACTAAAAGAACAAAGGTGGGCGTCACTCAAGCGAACACTCACTAGAAGAAAGAAATGTCTATGATTAAGTATTCACCATCCGGCCTGGGACTGTGCTGGGCACTGTCCGGACCGCCAAGCGCAAGGTCGCTGTGCCAAGGGCTGTTTTGCTCTGCAGAACATCCTTCAGATAGCACTCGGTGAAGGTGGAGGGGGATCTTCAGCAAGCCGCCTGGCAGATTTCTGCTAGAGGAACTTCTCTGAAGTATGACCATGACGCCGAAGCGGCCTGAACATCGAGGGCCCTGACGTGAGATTGGGTCATCTCGTCATGTTGTACCTGCCAGTCTTGGTTCGTGAAGAAGATGGCCGAGACCGTCCATTGGGCAATAATGTCCTTTGACGCTGGACGAAAGGGTTTTGTTGTAGTGATGAAGAGCTGGGAATTAAGACTCTTGGCAATGCTTGGTCCTGGCAAGGTACCACTTGAGAGTGCAAACTGGACACCTTATCTTGTCAGAGTCATCTCCCGAAAGTGAGGCAATCTTGGGAAAGAATATGTTGAGAGGCCGCAAGGTAGGCGTCTTTGATTGTCACAAACTTGATGGCTGGGATAAGGCAAACCCCATGCGGCTCCCGGCGGATGTGACCTTCGGCAATCAATAGAGCATGCAGTTCGCTACCACGTCTCAATGTAATGACCGCAAGGAGGAACACCAGTTTGATGCTGAGATGGAGATTAGATGCATCAGAAAGTGGCTCAAAGGGGGACCGGCAAGAACGCGTAAGACGCTTCCAAGGTCCCAGCATAGAACGAGGCATTTGACATAAGGATGATCGACAAACATTCCTCAAGGAAGAAGGTGGATGGCAGCATTATCAGAGACCGTCAATCCATCGCCAAAGCCCGAGTGAACGGCTGCCAAGGCCGACCGGTAGTTGCGGACGGTGGCAATCTGGAGGCCCAAGTGGAACAGAAACAAGAAAAAGTCTGTGATGGAATGCACAGGAGCTTCAGTTGGAGAAACATCATGGTCAATGCACCATCTTGTAAAATGTTGTAGTCGGCTGCTGTAAATTTTACGAGTGGACAGTCATCGACCCCGGGCCGCCATGGACGCAGCATGTGCAGAAAGGCCTGACACTTGGAAGGATTGTTGGACAACGTCCAGCAAGTGAAGACCCCCCCAGTGCTGGACAGAGGACTCCTGACTTGGGTTGATGAAGAATGTCCTACCAACCTACCAGGAGTATTGTCAGTCTCGGAAACCACGGTTGGCAAGGCCAGAACGGGGCGATGAGGAGGACCCGACGTGGCCCTGTTCTATCTTTTACAGGATGCAGAGGATATTGAAGAAAAGACATACACCAGAAGGCCCGACCAGTCGAACTGTAGGGTGCCTGTAGCCCATGCCCGTGGGTGAGGGAACCTGGAGCAGAACTTCGAGAGATAGGTTTTGTTGGTGGAAGTGAAGAGGTTGATATGGGGATGCTCGATCCTCGCAAAGATATGGCTTACCACGTTCGGGTGAAGAATCCACCCTGTTGGTCGGATGGCACCCCAGAGAGTGTGACTGCTATGCTGTTGCTGGTTTCCGCTATGTGGATGGCTTGGAGGGTGATCTCGTGATTGTCCGTCCACGAGAAGAGGTGCCAAGCAAGGGCGCCGAGTTGAGGAAAGCGAGTGCCGCCCTGGCGGTTGATGTACATCACTAAATCCGTGTGAGAATAAAGAAGGAGATCTTCAAACAGGCCATCCGGATCCGGGGCAGTCACCAAGGGAGTGGAGATTGACTCAAGGCGGCTGGCTAAGATGGACAGCATCTCCGAGAGAGTGGACTGCCGTCATCAAACCCGCTGAAGAAATATCTTGCCTAGGTGTAGAGTGGGATTTCTTGCATTTCTTATGCGCGGTAATCCGGTCGTAGAACCGGAAGGAAGAACCTAAGAACCTGGAATGGGTGAATGGAGTAGTCATCAGTGATCAAGGGCATTGTTACGGTACCGCTCGCTCAGCCCGATCTTGTAGATAAAGGTCCGGGGTAGTGTTGCGGCAGAGCACGCTCAACCCTGGCCTATTCACTCCACTGGGTCTCTCCTCGCCGAGGCCGCTAATTGGATAATGCAAAACTGCACCACAAAAGAGCGGGGCAGCCCACCAGCTCCGCTGCCAGACCCATATAGCATTGGGCCGTCATTATTCGTATGCACGCACCACATAGAGAACAAAGGGCTGCCCAGCCCTGTTCAATAGCCATACTCAACACAATGCATCACGGTAAGTCACACCCAAACATGTATATGATTCACAGAAAAAAAGGGGCAAAAAAGAACAACAAAAAACACAGCATGCTAAGAATGAGATATGAAAATAAGCACTCTTACCAAAATACAAGAAATCACTCTTCGTTACAGGAATGAAGTCAATTCACAAACACCGGATCGCAGTGCATTGTGGAGGGTCAAGGGGCAGCATGCATAATCAAGTCTTTTCAGCGAATTAGGCACATTGGAAATCTGCATATGAACGATGGGCAAGGGTATGTGCACGTAGGAGACCATATAATTTGTACGGGAGTGCAATTCATTAAAAACAAAATCTGTGCTGAGAAACCTGATTTCTAGCCATAAAAAACCAGATAGTATTTGCCAATCTACACAGACCACTGGTAGCAAAGACTACAACATGACACACATTTTCAGATGCTGTTATTGGTAAAAAAAATATTTGGACACTTAAAAAAAATGAAACAGCTTCACTGCATGTGTCAAAACCCAATGTACAAAATGTATGAGGGAGACCCCATTGTGGGCAATGTTTTTTTGACAAAGGAATAATGCCAGGATTTTTTTCACCAGACATGACAAAGCCTATATTGGTTCCAATCACAACTGCAGAGAAAACATCCGGGAGCTGTGAAAAATTTCACTTTTTATACAAATGTATTTTCAGACATTACATTTACAACTATTTCAGGGATGGATTTGCACCAGGGAAATGTTAATTAATTTTGGATTTGGGGATTTTGTTGGGATTTTTGGGGGCACACACTGATTATACACCGAGTATACAGTGTTAAAATACATGTCGGGCATGGCAAAAAATACAAAATTAATTACACTTGAAAATATATTTACCTCAAGGCAGGACTGTTGATCAAGTGACACTGTGAGAGGACAAAACTGTCAGGGGATGATAGAAAAGTGTCAAACCGAACCTAGAAAGAAGGCATGCAAAATATCAAATATTAGGAGTGATCGAATGAATGAATGTATACTGTAATGTATACGTTAACACAGAGACAGAGCCACAGGTTCCAAAAGTACCTACTTGGTATACATTCGTGGCTTGTCATAGCAAAATGAGCTTGAAATCTGAATGGTCATTTTGCAGCTCCATGTACATTATAGAAATGCCATATTTTGAGGGGGTGGTTGATTTTTGGGTTTCAAGTGATCTACCCTTTGTCAACTGTAGTTACTTCAAATGTATGTAAAACCAGTATTCATCCAGTCATTAACTCACTGTCAGTTGATCATAGTACAATAACGATTTTTAATTAACTTTGTCAAAAGATAATTATCTTTAGAACAACAGATAACATATGCTATTTCTATTACTGAAGTTTAGATTATGGCACATTAAAACTAATACAAAGCTCCTATTCTGCATAATCCACAAATAAAAAATATCACTGCCTAAGTTCGTTTTGCATCTTTTCATTGCGTATCTTTTCTTATCAGAAAGATTTTGCTTCTACATCAAAAGAAACTTCACGTGTGTGATGAAGAACCAGATTGGCCACTCAGAAATCAATATCTTCCGAAAATCAAAACAAGAGAAATAAGAGGCAATTTCTGTCCACAAGCAACTTGGCCGATTTCGCAAGCACATGAGGTCAAATTTTGTGTTTGTGTTGGGTTGATGACATATTGAGAAAGGCACAATAGGCCTGCATGAAGCATGTGTGAGGATATATGTAAACTGGCATCGTTACAGCCCAAATGCATTAACACGAGAAATTTTGATGATGTGTAGAAAATGCACAATATTATTCATTAATCTCTAAGATGCATAAACCTAAAATCTCACTCTTAGCTGGTCAAAATAATTGTGAGATTTGTTCTGAAATGAAAGAGTACGAGACGTTGAAGGTGGATTGGAATGTAACTTGCGTGGCATACATGGGACAGTGCACTCGTGTTCACATGCAGTGGCAACAGACTATTCATACGCCACAGGAAATAATGTGGTCAGTACAGGAGTACCCAAACCTGTGAAACTTGGGCTGAATCGGTTGTTGGTCACTTCGCCCCATTTCCACTTCACTCCATCAGGTCAACTCAGACCTAAACCAACTTGGACCCATGCCAGCTCGGACCAATGCCAACTTGGACCTGTAACTAACTTGGACTCACGCCAACATGGACCCAACCAGAGTCAACTTGGACCCACCGAGTCTTATACTATTGTGGCAACTTTGTAATAATCAGTCTAGAGTATTACCACATACGGGAGCAGAATACAGCAATCTTTGTACAAATTCAACTTTAAATTAAATATATCCCCCCACCTGGGGGGGGACGAGTCTATTACTGCATACCTACCAGATTACCAATACATATGCATTATTTCCTAGTCCATTACTTCCATTCGCTAAATTTTTGATCTCCGGCAGTGTGCCCTCACTCGCTCGACTCCCGCAAAGGAGGCGCCATGTTCTTCCTCTCTTTTGATGTGTAAAGTTTGCCGAGGCCGCGAGGGGAGGAGGGAGGGAGATTAGTCTTCTGGTAGGTATGCAGTAGTAGACTCGTCCCACTCTAGGTGGGGGAGAGTCTACTGCCTGCAACCTTTGCAGATTACCAATACATATGCGCCGAACCAGAGGACAGCGGGAAGGCGAGAGCGCACTGACAACCCTGAACCCCAGGAAGAGTCACGTACAGCCTGCAATGAACAAACATGACAAATTAGTAAAGAACTGCATGAGGTAGGCACGAAGAACAACACACTATGAAAATGTCTTGAGTGCACCCACTTGGAGCTACTGAAATCCCGTCTTGAGCATGGCTAGTCCGTAAGAATGATCCCCCTGCAAAAAATCACAGAGATAACAAGAGGTAAATGTTGAGGGGGATTGCCAACTAGCGGCTTCACAAATGTCTGAAATCGGGACGCCTTTGAAATAATCCCATGAGGAAGAGACAGCCCGAACATCGTGAGCACGTAAGTGGTGTCGACATTGATCATCAGAAGCAGTGGGCCAGTCTGAATTTGCAAACCTAATAGTGGAACCACCCACATGGCAATAGTGTCTCTGGAAACTGCACGGTGAGGCTTAGTAGATGTAATGAGTAATTGAGTTATTTGCCTTCGGATGTCCTTAGTCCAGTGGAGATACCATTTGAGTGTCCGGACAGGACACCAGATTTTGTCGGAGGTAGATGAGGCTAATGACCGGATGGATGGGACGAAGATGTCCAGTGGTTGAAATGAAGGTATTTGGTTCTTGGTAAGAAAGCCAATCTCTGGAATTAGATGAACCCCGAGAGGTTCCCATCGAATATGGCCATCAGCAATGGACAGTGCTTTAATCTCGCAGCCTCATCGAGCAGTGACGACGGCCAAAAGGAAGGCCAGCTTCATAATCAAATGAAGTAGGGTAGCTTGTCCCGCTGGTTCAAAAGGCGGGTTAATCAAAAGTCGAAGGACACCCCCCAGATTCCATGAAGGAGTGAGTCGCCAGGTTGGGGGACATTCAATAAACATGCCTTGAAGAAGATGATGGATCACAGTGTTACTTGAATTGGGCATTGAAGATTAATAGAGATAGAGGATCCATCGCGAAACCCACCGTGGATAGCCGCCAAAAGCCGAACGGTAGAAGAACTCTGTTACAAGGGAAAGAGTTGCTTCAGTTGGATTCGCAGAATGTTGTCTACACCAGCAGTAGAAATGTCAAATGTGGCTGTCATAGATCTTTCTCGTTGACAGCTGTCTGCCTCTGGCAGCCAGGGCGGCAGCATCTTGAGAAAGCCCTGCCTGCTGAAAGGATAGTTGGACAATATCCAACACGTTAGGTGTTGGCGAAGAGGATCTAGATGGAGATGGCGAGAGCCGGGTTGGAAAAGCAGGTCGTGGCCCTGAGGGAGCAACAGGGGAATGTCAACTAACAGCCTCACAATGCGGGGAAACCATGGCTGCCTCAGCCAGAATGGAGCGATGGGAAGAATTCGGCAATGTTCTTTCTATATCTTTGACAGGACCCTTGGTATCAGCAAAATGGGGCGAAAGGCGTAGGCTAGGAGACCTTTCCAAGAGATGCGCAGAGTGTCAGTCGCCCAAGCCTGAGGATGCGGAAATTGAGTGGAGAATGTTGGAAGTTGAGCATCCAGATGAGAGGCAAAAAGGTCCACATGTGGTCTGTCGGTTGCTTGAAAAAGAGCACGGACCACTTCTGGTTGAAGAGTCCATGCTGTCGGGCAAACCTTACTCCAGGAGAGAGCATCGGCCAGATTGTTCTGTAACCCGGAATGTGCTCGGCAAGCACCAGGACAGAATGACAGATGGACCACTGAAGTAGCTCCCAGGCCAGCAAGCAAAGGGTAGACGAATGAGTGCCCCCTTGACAATTGATGTAGGTGACAGCCGTAGCATTGTCTGAACGAACTAGAACTGTCTTGTCTGTCAGGAGTGGCAGGAAGTGATGTACAGTATTGAAGATTGCCTGCAGCTCGAGAACGTTTATGTGGGAGTCTTGCATGGCTGGTTCTCACTGGCTGGAGATCTGATACGGAGGCAGACTGGCTCCCCACCCATAGGTCAAAGCGTCTGTAGTCAGTACCACGTCGTGACCTGGAGGGGCAAAGGGAAGGCCGGTGGTGAGATTAGTCTTGGACAACCACCACGTCAGGAGATGACTTAGAAAACTTGGAACTGGGACGAGGAGGTCCAGTGAGTCTGTGTGTGGTCTGAAGTGAGACAGGAGCCGTAGTTAGAAAGGTCTCATGTGGAGTCAGTACCAAGGGACAGGGTCAACAAGACTGGCCATGAGACCGAGAAGCTGAAGCCACACCCGAGCATTTATTCGTTGACCGACTTGAAACAGGGCAACACACTTTATCAGATCATCCACATGGGCATTAGTAGGAAAAACCATGCCGCGACAAAGATCGAAGAACAGCTCCGAGACGCATGGGCATCTATGACGGAGTTGTCCTTGACTTGTCATGATTGATTAGGAATCTTAGATGAGTTGTAAGAGCGCAAACCATCGCGATGGCCTCGATCCTTGATCGACCTAGGATTAACCAGTCGTCCAGGCATTTAAAGATGAGAACGTCAGAACGACGAAGATAAGTCCCCACTGCTTGCACCAGTCTGGTGAAGACTCTTGGTGAGGTGGAAAGCCTGAATGGGAGAGCGCAAAACTTGTAGGTTTGATCTCAATGTGATCGTTGGGATGAATAGGTTAGAGAAGATAAGCATCCTTGAGGACAATGGAGGATGCCCAAGCTGGAATGGAAATTGAGTGAAGAACTGTGCAGAGTGTCTCCATCCGGAAGTGCTTGGGACAAATGAATTGGTTGATAGGCCTTAGGTTGAGAATTGGTCTCCATTTCCCCATATCTTTCTTTGGAGTTAGAAAAAAGGTGGACCAGAAACCCTTACGGGCATGAAGCTCGAGAATTGGAACGATAGCCCGTTTCTGTAGCAGGTTTGCAATTTCCGACTCCAAAGCCTTGTGTTTGGACTGATTCACGGGGATTTGAGTTGGCTGCAGTACGGTGCTGGAAAGAGGGGCACTCGTGAACTCGAGTATCAAGAACCCATCCATCCGATGTTATTTCCCCCCAGAACCCTGTGAAAGTTAGAAGACGGCCGCCAACGGGTTCGAGATTGACGACCGAAGAAGGGGTGGAGTAGTCACCTACGCTGACCCCCGAAAGACCGCGGGGGGTGGCAGGCGACACCACGCTGGGCACTGCAGGCAGCTGGAGCCAAGTAGCGTGTCTGTTCCCAAGCAGGTTGCAAAGGTCGACGAGCATGCCTAGGAGGCCTCCCAGGATGGTGCATTAGAGGAGCGGAATGTTGTGGAAGTCTCAGGGAGCCAAATGAGAAACACGGGGTTGAGAGTCGGACGGCATACGAAAGGAGATCTTCCATGCATTATCAATCCACTTGACCTCACTTTGAAGGAGAGAGGTAAACTGGCCC